GCGCATGTACACATAGATACACCGAGAAAGAAAAAGACTAGAAGGAAATACATGTGGTCAGTGGTCATCTCTGGATGACAGGCTTTGGAGTCTTTTCATTTTGAGCAGCTTGTTTTATCTCTTTGACCTTTCCTGTGATAACATCTTCCAGTCCTCTGAAGCTGCCCCACACCTGGCCCCGAGTGACCTGTGTGTCCTGTCTCTCCCCAGAGCCTGTGTTCTGGCTCTACGTGAAGGAGGTTCTGAACAAGCACGAGCTGCAGCGCTTCTACGCCTTGCGCCACATCACCTCCGACGTGGGCCGGGGCCGCGCCTGGCTGCGCTGTGCCCTCAACGAGCACTCCCTGGAGCGTTACCTGCACATGCTCCTGGCCGACAGAGGCAGACTCAGGTACTGGGCTGGGCTGAACAGGACCGGGCCCTGGGGGGAGCTGCAGCAGGCTTACGTCCTGTGCTGGACTGGAGGCGCTGCAGGCTCAGGTACCCACTGGGCTGGGCCCCATGAAGGCCTCTGCTCCTCCACCTGGGCAACCAGCAAGTTCCCCTGACAGCCCTCATGTACTCAGCTGTGCTGTGGGATTAACTGGTAGGAGAACCAATGGGGAAATGCTTACCAAGGGCTCAGCATGGTGCCTGCATATAGCAAGCACTCGGTCAGTGCTACTGTGAAGGCTTAGAGTGGGGAGGCCTGCGGTCTCCACATCCTGCGCCTCTCTGCCCTGGAAGTTGAGTTCCAGCTCCTTTCAAGTTCAGAGTCGCTTCCTCTTCTAGTGGTTAGTGCCCAGGCGCCTGTTCTGGTTTTGCTTGTGTGCTGCCTTCTCTAGCCAACTCCAACTTGACTTTTAAAAGAAGAAGATGATTTCACTTGGGGAGAGGGGTCATTGGTTATACACAAACAAATTCCGAATGCATTTGTTAGACTTTCTTGATCACAAACCTGCAGTTCGCAGTGGTTGCAAGCCATCCAGAGGCACCGGGGAAGCCAACCCTTGCCATCTGCTCCAAATGCCCATGTGGAGTCTTTCAATTTTTGAACACGTGGATTGCACTGGAATCCGTGGCAACTGACTGTAGCACCACAGGCCAGCCTCTGCTGCACTCACCACCAGCAAAGGCAGTGTGTGGTCAGCCACGTTTATGGCCTCCTTATGCTGCATGCCTGTTAGGGCGGGCCCGTGGGTCGGGGACCTCCGTCTGGAAACTCGGCCGGCGGCTTACACGTGTCTCCTCTCCTTTCATGACAGCCAGGGTGGAGCTGACAGAGCACAGGCTCCGAAAGCTGCTGGCCGCAGTGAGCCGCCACATCTCATTGGGTTAAGCAAGTGCCATGACCACACGCCTGTGGCAGGGTACCCACAGTTATTGAATTGGTTCTGAAGCATGCGGACCCCGTAGGACAGAGTAGAACTGCCCCACAGGGCTTCTCCAGCTGCCACCTCGGTTGAAGATACCATCATCTTTCTCCAACAGAGAAAGTGGGTTCGAACCACTGAC